AACATGAATTTCCACCGAGGTCATGTGATATTACGCCGTGTGATTTCTTTTTGTGGCCTTACCTTAAAAACACTATTTTTGAACTGCCTATTCCTGATTTAAACCATCTGCAGGCTCGACTTATAGACAAGATTCGTGAAATTAACAATACCCCGAGCATCTTAGAAAATGTCTTTAATTCTTTGAGGAACAGGTGTGAAAAGTGCTTGGAACAAGGAGTACGTGTTTTATCACAAATGGTGGGAGTATCAGTCGGTACCTGCCACACAGTGTTAAAAAAAGCTCCTTTAGTTGTTTGTTATTGTTATCACGATTATTCTTTAAAATAAAGTTATATATAGTCATTAACGTTATTGAAACTGACAGCTGCTATACAGCTCCTTGAGAAATGAGGTTAAGTTGGTCGCTATAAGCTACTCCCTACGTCCAATGTGTCAGAGCCAACTTTGACCACGTTTTTATTTGAATGCTCGTTATAAACAAGAGAAGTAGTTTGTGCATTAGTTCTGTGCATGACTTGAGTACTGTCGGAAAAAAAAGTTGACATGTGCAGCCACAGTGGAGAAATCACAGAAAAACAAAAAAGATTTGGTTTCTAGAAGCTGATGTGTACTTGTAGAAGTTATAATAGAAAAAACTGACTTTAAAGCCCTGTATCTCAGAAAAAAATATGTTTAGGTTTTCATATTATTATTTTAAGTTTAAAAATACCTAGTACAATCTTATATTATTATGGATTTACTTTATTTAGTGGAATATATTTATATTTATTTAATAGAATATATTTTTACCTATGCAATCTCGTTTTGGTAATAAGGGATTGGGAGGATCTGCTCCTGATATCACAAGAGACCCTCCCCTCTGAATCAGTTCTACTTCCAGGTTCGTCCTAGCAATGGAAGTTACAAACAAAAACAAACTTTGAGGAATTGGCTTTTCACTTTTTGGTTTAAACATAGGTTTGAGTTGAGTACTGCTCGACATGTCTTCCATTACTTTTCCTATAGCTTCGGCCATATTTGACGTACTCTGAAAATAAAAATAGTGATTATGGAAATACGAAGCAATGTAATACGACCTCCATTCCATATTAGTTGGCCCAGTGAACTTAAATTATGTTGATTCCTAAATACTTTAATAGAAATAAGAAAAACAAAAATAAAGAAAATAGAGAAAATAATTGTTTTTCTTAATCAAATCATTAACATACAAACTCAAAAATATGCAAAATAGAATTGAGTTACTAGATCAAGTAATACAAAATAAAAAATATATATAATTCAATGTTTTGACTAAATATATTGAGATGTATGGAAATGTAATGTATTCAAAATTGCATATTAGAAAGGGGTAAAATTGAAAGAAGAAAATATCTGACAGAAGTCGCTTGTCATAAAATTAAAATGTACTAATAAAATTGAATTGATTTTTTTTTAAATGGGAAAGTATTGTAAAATAGTAATAAGTAAAGAAAATAGTGAGCTATAAAAATTTAAAATGTGAAAACAGAAGTGCGGTTACTAAGAAGAAAAAGTGTTGGGTAAACGAGAAAAAAAAAAGGGAGAATAATAAACATTAATATATGACAGCTAGAATTTTAGAAAGCTAGAATTTAAAAAAAAAATAAGGAAGATAAAGTTATTGGGAGAAGATAATAAAAGTAATAAGAAAAGGAAAAACCATGTATCAGAAAGAATATATGAAAACGGTTTCGATACACATTTTGATTGAAGATTACGGAAGATACAAATACAAGTAAGTCTAATAACGAAAACAAGGTTAAAACGTGTTATAGAGAACAACCCAAATTTGAGAAGAAATTCACATAACTCAAGTTACCGTCAGGGAGCAGAAGTATACAGCAGGAAATAGGAGTACAAGACAACACGGAATAAACTAACAGAAGTTGGATAAAGCTAGAGGGTGCATAGTGAAACCAGAAGTGATCAAGGAGAAAAGAAAAAGAAGTTTAGTGCATCGGACAGTATTAACAAAAGGTAAACTAACTAAAATTTATCTAGACCTGAGTGAAATTTAGTATGGAATATTCGTATTCTGAACATTGTTGTTTAAGTTAAGTTTTAGTATAAGGATTGGCGTAGGAAAAATATAATTTTATTTAAATTGTATAAAAAAAATCAATTTAATTTTAATATAAATTTTTTAAAACACAGGATTTCATTCAGAGATACTTTCTTTTAAAGAACCACCCTTAGAGATAATAGAATAAATTTTTCTTTACATTCTATAGAAAAATTTTATTTTCAAATTTATTTTGTTTTGAAGAAATTTAATTTCAAAAAGTAACTATATATTCATATTAACCAAAATTATATTCAAGAATAATTTATTGTGACAAAGAAAAATATAAATTTCAGTGAGACTAATATCTATTTTCTTAAGCACTTGAAGGTAAGTAGATATTCCCATTTTGACAAGTTGAGATATCCAAAGGTACCTAAACATAATTATATACACAAACTAGTTGACCCGGCAAACGTTGTTTTGCCATATAAATTATTCCTAGGATTATTTTAGTAGATTTTTCATAAAGAAATTTCACTTCTACCATCTATATTATATTTAGTGTTATTCAGTGTATATCGTGTATATTTTTTTTATTAATGTTAATAGTAAACGTCACTATTACGATTGATGCACAAACAATAATAATAATGGCCGAAAACTGTAGAGAGTGAGAAACGGCTTATTGTGTGAGAGAGATCTCATCCCTACTCCGTTCTGTTTACTGGGTCAGAAGTGACACCGGTCGACGCCTGGCGGGGATAAAAAAATGATCAAGTGATAATTGATCAGTTATCGACCGGGGTTGAAAATTATTGAATTACTAATATCGCTATTAAAAAATAGGGGTTGATGGTAGAAGGGTGAAAATTTAGGATTGTATGTATTTTTTAAAGCCACATCATAAAAAAATAAAAATAAAAAATTTTGTCCAAAAAATTAAAAAAAAAATTTTGGGGTGGACCACCCTTAACATTTAGGGGTATGAAAAATAGATGTTGGCCGATTCTCAGACCTGCCCGATAAGCACACATAATTTCATCAAAATCGGTCCAGCCGTTTCGGAGGAGTTTGATAACAAACACCGCGACACGAGAATTTTATATATTAGATTAAATTACACGACTAATAAAAAATAATAATAACAATACAATATATATAACACTCCTATATATTTGACTATGTTTGGAATATAGAGAAAGAAGGTAAGGAGCCAAGATGTAAACTGAGATGAAACTAGTCTCACGTCATATGACTTAGGACATTTATAAACTTAGGACGTGCGATTTGTCACATATGTGTGTATTTACATTTCTATTTCTGTATATATTTTTGCAGTTGTATGTAATTTGTATTTTTATATTTTTTTTGAGCGCTTTATTTTAAATTCTGTTTCTTATGTAGTGAAAGTCTTAAACAAGAATAAATTTTGTAAAATGGTTACGTGGTGTTGTACCCTATATAGGATACAGTGAAATTCTTCGTGGACACCCCCCTTACACGGACACCTCCCTTGGACGAACAGTTTCTCATGGTCCGACCAACTCATATAATTTGCATTGTGTTAACTCCCTCTTGGACGGACATTCCCTTGAACGGACGCGGACACAAGAAAATATTCTCTTAAATGGACAGAAAACAAAATAAAAAGGAAACAGTTAAAAATTGCTTCCGTAAAGCAGAATTTAACCATGAAAATATGCAAAGTGAAGATCAGTTAACTGAGTATGTTACATCTGATCCAAAAATAAGAATTTGTTTGAATTGACTGATAATTAAACCTTAATGATCTTTTGAACCTAGATGAAAATTTGTATGTTGAAGATTCAGGACTAAAAATTAAAAATCTAGTTGAAGTACAAGAATTTTCCGAAGATTCTTATGTCGATGAGGTTCCAGTACCAACAGAGGCTATACCAAATTATGGTGAAGCTATTATCTTAACCAATTAGCTTAAACATTTTGCCGAAGATCACGGAGATGCAGAGTCTTTCGAGCTTCTTTCCAAATTAGAAATACGATTTCTGGACGCCATTTTAAAGAAAAAGAAGAGACAAACAACAATATATGAAGTTTTGCGTCATTAAAGTAACATTTCTGTTCATTTTATGTATTACTATACAGGGTGTCCCGAAATTCATGCAACAAAATTTGGTCACAGATTCTTAGGACAAATTTAGGGGACCCATATTTTTTATTTTTGCCAAGTGGCCCCCTCTTTCGGAGTTACAGCCCCCTGAAGTCCGCCCCTAAGAATAATCTTTTTTTTATATCTCAGAATCCTGTTGGACGAGAATCACTAAATTTGGTACACAGAGGTTTTATAACATGTGGAATCTGATGGTGCAACGTTTTTTGGCCTTAAGACAATTTTTCGTGGGCCTCCTTGTGTTTGGGGCTAAAAAAATTTGGTCGCATATTTAAATTTCTTAAAAATTATGAGTCCACTAGAAAGCTATTAAATTTAGAGACTTTTTGTCTCTTTATACTTTTTTCGTAAAAGGCAATGTTTTCGAGAAAAATGTCAAAATGTGATCGAATGCATATCGAGATTCGCCATTTTCCTCAAAAACATTGTGTTTTACGAAACAAATATCAAGAGACAAAAAAGATTCTAAATTCAAATGGCTTTCTAGCTAACTAATAATTTAAAAAAAAATCAAATTTGCGACCAAATTTTTTTGGTTCAAAAAACAAGGGGAGCCACGAAAAAGTGTCTCAACAGGGTTCCCCGCCAAAAAGCGTAGCACTATCAGATTCCATATGTCATAAAACCCCTGTGTATCAAATTTAGTGATTCTCGTACAACAGGGTTCTGAAATATAAAAAAGACTTCCTAGGGCAGATTTCAGGGGGCTGTAACTCTGAAAGAGGGAGCCAGTTGGCAAAAAGAAAAAATACGGGTCCCCTTTTGTCTTAAGAATCTATGACCAAATTTTGTTGCATGAATTTCGGGACACCCTGTATTCTATTATATTTTGTATGTATTTTGTAAGGTAACAAATCCTTATTTTTTCCTTAAGTTTTAAGGTTTTTATTTGTATTGCAACAGTTTTATTTTCAAATCCCTAGAATAAGTTCCAGGCAAAATGTTACATTTTACTGCCAAGCGGCCAATATAGTTTTGAAATCTCCTATATACAGGGTGATTCATTAACAATGGGAAAATCGAAAGCTGAAGATACTACACGTGAAATGGTGACCATTGGCGCAAACATGCCTTATCCGAAAGTTGAATACAGGGTGTTGAGTTAAAATTTTAAATTGTTTTTTGCGATTATTCTGAAAATATGTAGGTTAGGAACTTGAAAATTTGTGAAACTATTTTTTTTAGGCGACGAATAAGATGCGTGTTGTAATTTCAGCATTGCTCATAGAGGGTGCCACTTACGACCAATTTTACCGAAAATTTAGTTAATAACTTTATACCCTGTATGTCTAACATGAAACTTGATTCAAAACCTGAAAGAGCAATCATTTTTCCATTAATTTTGTATTCTTGTTTCATTTCGGTATCTCGATCCGTTTTCGAGAAAAATCGATTTAACGAACACTATGTTTTGATAATACGAGAAATTAAAAGCGAAACAAACCAAGTGTTTCTTCGTGTTATTACAACAATTAACAATAAAACAAATGAAATTCGTAATAATGATTTAAAGTCAGTGTTCGAAGAATCCACCGTTGACATTTACACACTTTACACAACGTTTTCTGAGAGATCTTCGAGTTTGAAACAACATATTGGGATTGCGTTTGACTTCGTTGGCAGCGATTTGTATTCTTTGCCACAACTCTTCACACGAACCAATAGATTCTTCCAAATAGAAAAATGAAGAGGATTGAAGTCCGGACTTCTGGGTGGCCAAGTAAAAATGCGTCCACGGCTTGAAGAAGTTCCACTTTATTTAAGAAGAGACATGTGGTTCATGCATGACGGAGCTCCACCGCATTTTTCTTGGCCAGTGCGTGCATATTTAGATGCAGTTTTTCCAAATCGCTGG